CACATTCCAAGCATTTTATTTTATAGACACAATTAGATAGAGAATCTTTAGGGATTTGGTCTTTTATATGGACAAGGTTGCTTTGAAGTGTGCCTGATGTTTTGAAGAAAACTCTAATGTCGAGCTGATTGAGTACTTTTCTGATATCGTCTGACATCTCTGCTCTATATGGAATGACGACTGTTGATGTCCATGTTTTCGGCATGCGTTTTCGGCCATACTTAATGTCTGTGTTGATTTTGTTGATGAAGTTCCATGGGTAGTTGTTTTGCTTGAGAGTTTCAGTAATGTTTGATATTTCTTCTCCTTTTTCTTTCTCGTCGGTTATCAGAGAGTGTGCTCGTCTAAGAAGACTTGAAACAACTGATACTTTTGCACTGATGGGGTGTGATGACTTGAAGTCTAAATATTTATTTGAGTGGGTTTTCTTCCTGAATGTGGATATACTAAAATGATCGTTTTCCCTTCTCTTAACTAGGCAGTCTAGAAATGGTAGTTCACCGACGTCTGATTCTGCTTCCGAAGTAAACTGACTTCTGGGAGATACACAGTTTATATTCTCTATGAATGAATTGTGTAGATCTCGCTCGTTTTAGCACTACAAAAGTATCATCTACATATCTTAACCATATTTTAGGAGTGAGTATGCTTGAAAAGATGTTATTTTCGAATTTATTCATGAAAAGGTCGGCGACTATCGGGGAGACTGGTGAACCCAAAGGATTGAGTAATCCACCTCTCTCTCCACCCACCTATATTACTTCTTAGAATTTTAATCCTCTCCCCCCTCAACCTATTGTGTGGTTGTGTGTTAATGCATGCAGTGCAAGTAAAGCGATGCAAAATAATGGAGTTATATAAACGTAGTTGTGTGATTACCTTGATATGATTATGAGCAGTAATAAATTGTGCTCGAAACTTGATCATAAGTAAATGCTACTGCATAATACCATACTGTGAGACTTTATCAAAATAGATTTTACTCATAATTAAATTATGCTCTACCACAGTGCACAAGTTTTATTCTTATACCTGAGCTTACGGATTAAGGAAAGTTACCCCCCTCCCCACCCAATGGGAAAATTATTATTTTAAGAATTCAATCATGCCGCCTCAATTCTATATATCTTTAAATTCCGGGACAAAATATATATGGACAGATAGAAGGTGTAGCAGATAACTTTAGGGATTACTGGGAAAATATTGCTCCCAACTCTCTCCTTGTATCTCATCAAGTAAAACCAGAAATCAGTATAAAATAATCTATGCTCGTACAACCAAGTACAGGAACTCAAAGATATCATACTTGGCCCGTGTTCTAAGCGACAGAGACAATGTTAAGCGCTAAACCTATGACTTGCTTTGTTGTTAATAACATAATTTTAGGTTCTTTTATTTCTCTCTTATTTTGTTTTCTATAGTGAACTCCTTCTTAAACATACTTAGCTACCTAAATTATTAACATTGGCTTCCTTTTTTGTACTTTACTATATTCCTTCTTTTGTGTATCTACTGGTTCCGACTATATTAGCACTATGAGTATTACAAAATTGTCCTGTCATTAACCATCATGTAATTATTAGTTTTTGTGGTTGTTGTTTTTGTTCGGCAATATTAACTGACAATCATTGGTTGTGAACGCCATTATCACCATCTTAAAATTTTGTATTACGCAGGATTACTCACACTACCACTAAAAACACCGTATTAGAGCTGACAATAAAAACCCTGAAATGTTATTTTGTGATTGTTTAGTGTTGTTTCAACCAAATTAACTGATCATCTTGGCGATAAACATTCTTAAATATCATTTCATAACTTCTTGTATGACTATAGTTTTACTGTCACCATGCATAATCATATCATAGCTTCCACTACCCAATACTGAGATATTATTATATGATGTTTATTTTCCTTTCTACTTCTTGGTATTTTTCGCATTTTTTAAATTATTTTGTGCTTTTCCTGTGTTTTTTTGCTGTTGGTGTCTTTATATTTATTTTTTTGAAATACTCCTTTTAAAACTTTGATAAAATTAGATGCAAATATTGTAGATATGTGCTGAAAATTCCACACTGTACCACTAGTACTGTTTCTGGAATAAAGCAAATTATTATTATTATTATTATTATTTAATCCTACTTCAAAAATATGGTGGAGATAAATTTGGATGACACTTTCACACAGTGTTAAAAAAACAGAACATATCTCTCTCTAGCTTCCTGACACTAGTAGAGGGAATAAAATTCACATTTGAATCGGAAAACGAACAAGGAGAATTAGCTATCATGTTAGATTATTGTAAAATATAAACGAACAGAAGAAGGTAAACTTTTATGTACACTTGCGTTTATACAAAGCCAACGCAAACTCCAAACAGATATTTAGACTTTAATTTATCTCATCTGTTATGTATCTGTAAAGGCAAGCTTTGTTAAGTGTGTCTAACAAACCGAACAGTAGTACTAAGTAGCACAAAAGAGGCCTAAATGATGAAATGAAACAGATAGAAGAATAGCTGGTTGGTGTTAAATAACTAACTATCCTATAAAATTTATTAGGAACATCAGAAAAAGCCAAAAGCAAAATAAAAATAATGGTGAAACTAATAATAATGATAAAATAAATAAAAAAAGAATATAAGGCATCTATAGTAGCTCTACCACATAAGGAGGGGGATATCTGAGACCCTATATAGGATTCTTAATAAGGCAAGAAGAATTAGAGTGGCATTTAAACCTACAAACTCACTCAGGTAAGACAAACTGTGTAGGTTAAAGGACCCTGCCAGTTAACCCAATTAGACAAAATAATGTAATTTACAAAATATCTTGCAATGACCGTGAGTTAGGTCAACTATGCATAGGTCAACCAAGTAGATCGAAGGTAGTCAGATTGTCAGAACATAAGAATTTAGCTAAGGTAAGAATGGTTGACTCAGAGAAGATAAGTAATTTAGAAAAAAGCTCGGCAATTGCAATGCATGCATTACCATACAACCACACAATAGGATGGACAGGGTTACAATTCTGAAGAGTAATATAGATAAATGGAGAGAGAGAGGTTGATTACTGAATCTTGGTTCATCGAGTCTACACCCAACACGTCCAATAGGAATGACTCATCACTCATACCGGAAATGTGGAAAATACTACTGTGGTGAGAGCTGGCTGGTGAGGTACAGCAGGTTGGATGTCAGGACAAATACTCGCCATCAATAACATTGGCTATTGATTGCGCTAAATCGTGAATTGGTAGAAGTTAGAATTCATGAACTGGCTAGCTCGCTTTGTAACCAGAACGTCCTGGGTTCAAACCCTGGAGACGGATGCGTACTGATGAAGATTCGGTCCCAAACTAGGCTGACGGAACAGCTGGCTATGTAGTATTGCCTGCAGAATTTCCAGTGGTTCTCTAAAACTGATGTCACTGACTGACTGTCTGGATTCAACATAGAACTTTGCACCGATGTGCAGCAGTTCGAGTCACCACACACCCTCCATGTAGCACACAAAGCAAGAGAAGAAAGTAAAAAGAAACGCGAAATAGAGACAGTAGACAGAGATTTGAGGCAAAAGGAATAGTAGTAATATGGTAGAACCATATAGTTTTATTGGATATTAGAAGTCACAAGCAGTGGATGCATCTGCTCCAACCAGCCATTGAGAACGTGGATTTTGAGCCAACCATATCACCGACTGTCTCCAGCCATTGCTATTTACCGTTCCGAGGACTCCAACCAGTCAGGAAGTCTACACCTCCCTACGTGGCTGGCTGGCTCAAACTAACTGTTATGGATTTGATTCACTGATGAAGTCATGACCACCCACCACTAGCTTTCTCTTACTTAACATCGTCTGTCGTCAAGGTAGGCGATGACTAGACATGAATGCGTAACACATGTCCCAAACATCTCAATCAATGTACTTTCAAAATCCCGACGGTCGACTTTCTCGCTTACTTAGCACTTGATCGATGCCTACCTCAGTTACATTCACCCTATCATGTCACCTAACATGGAAGATAGAACGCAGACACCTATGATAAAAGACACTTTCAATGGCCATATTTCACAGACAGCCATAAAGGAAGACGTGGCGATCTGCTGAGTAGTACACACTTTCTTTGATTGATCACGTCTACTAACCCAGAGATAGGCTAAGTCGACCAATAAATTCCAAATGAACCTTTTGTATAACTTCAGAGATTTCGTCAGAAGTCAACCCGTTGGTGCTGGCTGACTCAACTTTCCAAATGAGGGGAGCGAGTTAAGATCACATAAGTTCAACAGCCAAAGAGATCTCTTTTTTCGTAATTTCACTATGAAGATGACTGCTCAGTTTGCATACATACAATGTAAATTGTCAACAAACATCAAAGGTTATTTTGTTAGTTAATAACAAAATATACCAGTGTATGAAGAATAACAGTGTGAAAAATAGCGAGTAGTGTTACGTAATCGAGATAGAAGGAGAGAAAGAGAGAGAGAGAGTTGATGACTAATCAGTCAGTTAAGTGATGAGTAATCACATTTAGGGAATAAGAAAAACATAAGGTTGAAAATCGTCAGCATAGCGCTTATTATGCAACTGTGGTGAGAGCTGGTTGCTAGCCAAAGTTGCTAGACAGTAATTGACGTCAACGTTTATGTCCCCAATATTGGTGGTGAGAAAATGAGAACAAAGACTTTGCGTAGGCGGATACAGTTAGCATATGGATGATCTGACACAGCCACAAAGAGATGCAAGGTTAACTTTCTGTGAGAAACAACCAATTAAAAGACTGTATTTTCTACTAACAATAATCTACAATAATAATGTACATTAAAATCTATAAATATGTGTGTTGATTTTCCTTTAATAAAGGATCTGTTGCCTGACCCTTGTCTTCTTTTGTTACACTATCACAACCACCACAGAGAGTGTCGATGTCCTATTTCTTGCATCATTATAACCACCTTCTTGTTCTTTTCTTTGTTTTTCGTCTATTTCTTCTTCTAGTATATGGAACGGTTCACAGCAATGAAGAAAAAAGCCTGCTGACCCACACACACACACAGAATGTGACGTCCATTCAATCTGATTATTATCACTATTGCTATTGCTATTTTTCTCAAACAACAACAGCAATCCTATTCCCTTATTTATATTCAATGTGCTATTTATTCCACATGTACTTGGCGGGAAGATATTAATTTCTGTAATTATTTGCTTACGTTGTTTCTTTCATTTTTGTTGTTGTTGTTGTGTATAGTGTCGCTTCTGTTCGAGCGCCTAATATACATCTTCCAGCTAACTGGCTATCTATGCTCTATACTTCAGAAACTTTCATTTCTTATACCCCTTGATTTCGACATTCTCCTTCCCCGCTTCATCCTCATATGATGATTCGCCAGCTTGCGCTTTTTGTCACCTTATGATATCCTGTGAAACACGCAGGCGTGAGAGAGAGTGAGGAGAACTTTGGTTTGTATGGCTTTAGCTCTTTCATGTCGGTGTTGTTCTTGTGGTTGACGTCGATATATTTACTGAAATACATGTGATTATGTATGCACAGAATTATGGCTTATTTTGATTTAATAATAATTTTATCCTTAACAATGTTTATTTTATGTAATTGAAATTTTAGATTTTCCCGTCGATTGATTGAACCGAAGTGCTCCGTCTCAGGTTGACATGTCGGCTTCTTGTGCAGATGCTTCGACGAAATCTGGGCATTTAATTGATGGATGGTGACTAGCACAGTGGACTGGGTCCGAGCCTCGGTGGGAACATCATCACTCAATGGGGAATGCAGGTACATCCAGTTAGCAGCTGACGAGTCCCAAATAGGACGAAATGCGCATTATCCTGGCTGGATTCCACTGCTAGTTAGTCACCATCCACCAATTAAATACTAATGTTTATTTAATGTACAGAATTTTCAGCAGAGTTTATTACACAATAATAATTTTCTCTTCGTCTAGGATCTTTAAATAACACGGATTAATTGACAGTAGATTGTATGACACAGTTCTGTCTGTCTATCTGACCTGAAATGTGCATCAGCGCCAACGGCTGTCGATCGCTGATGTACTCTCAGCATGGATGGATATAGAAGGCTTGTTTGGCATAGATTAGCCAACTTACGCCATCTTTGGCTTAGTAGACGTAATATCCGACTGGCTGTCGACGAAAGGACGTGTGTACTGCTCAACAGTTCACTTTGTCTTCTTTTATAACTGGCTGTGAGTCATACACATTGAAAGTGGGAGACATTAAAGGCCTGGTTAGCTGTCTTTGATCGTAGGCGTCTGGGTTCTATCTCCCGCGTGAAGTGGTATAATAAGGTGAGCAATATTGAGGTTAGGCATCGGTCGAGTGCTAGGTAAGGAAGGAAGGGCAATCAATTGACGAGGTTGTGAAGCAGTCCCATCAATTGAGATGGTTCGGACATGTGTTACGCATGTCTGCGTAGCCATCGACTTCCTTGACGTTGGGCAATGTTAGCTGACTTTCATAGCATGGATTAGGTTGGAAAACAGAAAGCTAGTGGTAATTGGTTAAACCAAAACATGGCTTCATCATTCAGTGAAATCCGTATCGATTAGTTTAAGCCAGCCAGCCACATTGGGATGTGTAGACTGCCTGACTGATTGGGGTCATAAAGGTGGTAAGAGCCAATGACAGTGTCTGGAGACATTTGGTGATATTGGCTCAAAATAATCGTCCCCAATGGATGGATGGTGCAGATGCATTCACACACTCATTGCGTGTGTAGTGCTCAGCAGTCCGCTCCGTCCTCCTCTATGGCTGTGAGACGTGGCCATTTAGAGCGGAAGACATGAAAAGACTAGCTGTTTTCGATCATAGGTGTCTGCGTTCTATCTCCCGCGTGAAGTGGTATAATAAGGTGAGCCATATTAAAGTTAGACTTCCGTCGAGTGCTAGGTAAGGAAAGTAAATCAGTCGACGAGACTGTGAAATTATATCGACTGAAATGGTTAGGACAAGTGTTACGTATGCCTAGTCATCGCCTTCCTCGACAATGGGCAATGTTAGCTGATATAGGTTCAGGCTGGAAAAGAGCTAGCGGCGGTCAAACGAAAACATGGCACTAGCCAATGAAATCCACAACAGTTACTCTAAGCCACGTAGGAAGGTGTAGACTTCCTGACTGGTTGGGGTCCTCGGGACGGTGAAAACCAATGGTTGGAAACAATTGGTGACATGGCTCAAAATCGTTCTCAGTGGCTAACGCAGATGCATCCACTCCTTGTGACTTATGATTTCCAATGAAACTGTTTTGTTCTTCGTTATTCCTATTCCTTTGTCTCACACCTCTGTTTACTGTCTATATTATGCATTTCTCTTACTTTCTTCTCTTGCTTTGTGTGGTACATGGAGGGAGTGTGGCGACTTGAACTGGTGCACATATATGCAAAGTTCTATGTCGAAAAACCGACCGACCACACACTCATTGTGATTCGTTGTTATATCCTATAAAACTCTATTCTTCTTCCATATTACTACTTATTTGCCTAATATTTCCGTTTATCATCTCTCTTTACTCCCTTCTCTTGTCTTGTGTGTTACATGAAGGGAGAGTGGCAAGTTGGACTGCTAAACATCTGTGCAAAGTTCTACGCTGAAACCAGTCAAACAGTGGTATGATTTCATTCTAGGGATTATTCTTAGAGTAACTGGGATACAATGCAATCTTAGAACACATAACAGAAACTCTTATCCAGTCTAATATCATGTTTCTAACTATTAGAAACACATTCATTTTTTCAAAGGATTATGCTACTTTTTCGTATTTGGATTCTGATTGGTTGTCGAAGGTCACAGTGCTTTACCCTATGACTTCTTACATAATTGCCCCAGAGTGGTGGTAGTTGTATGGTGAGAGCTGGCTGCAAGACAAAAGTGTAGACAACAATTTACGTGAATGTTTACCTCCCGAATCGGGTTCATCAGAGAGAAAAAACAATAACAAAGTCTAACCTTGAGGAACTCAACAATCAATCACAGCAGGCTTTGCGTCTGCCTGGATTCAACATAGAACTTGGCACCGAAGTGCAGCACTTCGAGTTGACACGTTCCAAATACCACACAAAGGTAGGTAGACAAGAAGATGAGTGAAGAGAATCAATAGTTATGACAAGTATAAGAGTGAAACAGAATGAGTAATGGTAGAAAGGAATATGAAAGATTACAGAGACTGAATACATCTGCGTAAGCCATTGACAACGATTTTGAGCCATGTCACCTATTGTTTGTCTCCAGCCATTGATTCTTAGAGTCCCGAGGGCGGGCCCCAATCCGGAAGTCTGCATCTCCCTCCCTACCTGACTCACTTTACCTGTCAAGGATTTCATGGATTGATTGATGCCATGTTTTTGTTTGGCCACCACTTACTCTTTACCAACCTACACCTATATCAGCTAGTAATGCCCGTCGGGGGAGACGATGGCTAGGCATGCGCAGCACGTCACCTAGCCATCTCAATCTATGTAACTTTATAACCTCTTCGATTGATTTTCCCTCTTTGCCCGACACTCTACGCCTAACGTCAACATTACTTACTTACCTTATTATACCACCTAACGTGAGAAAGAGATCGTAGACATCTATGATCAAAAACAGTCAACCTTTTCATGTCTTCAACTCGTATTGGCCATGTTTCAGAGCCATAGAGAAGGACGAAGCGAACTGCTGAGCAGTACACACGTCCCTTGGTTGATAGCCAGATGTCACGCCTGCGTCAGATGTGGCGTAAGTTATCGAAAGCAGCTCTAGGCTTTGCGTGGGCGGATACAGTTCGCATATATATGGTCTGACCTTCAATGAAATGGCCACAAAGAGATGATAGAATAACTTTCAACCAATCAGAGGACGCTGTTGCTCTGCTAATAATAAGGAATAATAATGTACATAAAAATATATAAATATCTTTCTTTTTTCAATAAACAATCTGTTGCCTAGCCCCTGTCTTCTGTCGTTACAGTAGTAGTAGTAGTACCAAATGTAACAACAGAAGACAAGGGCCAGGCAACAGAACGTTTATTACGGAAAATCAACACATATTTATAGATTTTGATGTACATTATTGTAGGTTATTGTTAGTAGAAAATACAGTCTGTTGATTGGTTGTTTCTCACACAAAGTTAACCTTGCATCTCTTTGTGGCTGTGTCAGTTCATCAATATGTTAACTGTATCCGCCTGTCCATCTTGACCTTGTTTTCACATGACTAACATTAACCTCAATTACTGTCAACCAATTTGGCTAGCAACCATCTTTCACCACAGTAGTAGTAGTACGATAGTTGACGGTGGGATTCGAACTCAGAACCCAGCATCAACTGAAAGCTTGTACAAAACAAGGAGCGAATGGGATCAAAAGGAAGGAAGAAAGAAAGAAAGATGAGTCGTTTATATCTTTCATTGTTATTATTTATTTCAAAATAACATCATCATTATGCGAAGTAACATTTATCAAAGTGTACAATTTATACGGAGGTAGAACAAAATAAACAGATTGGTGTTGTTGTTGGTGTTGATCACCGTCATTATTCGATGTCGCTGAATCACAACCATTCGTCACATTGATACGTTTCAATCTCCAACGTTCTGAAGACGACGCCACTGATGTCGAAGACGGTGTACAACGCTGAAGATATCGTGAAGGAATATTTCTTACTGGCTGTTGACGTTTCTTCAGAGTGAAACGACAATTTCTTAAAAATGCTGGTGATTCTAAATACACTTTCAATGCTTGTTTTATCGACGACAAGAAATCCTTCCTATGAATTACGACATCATTTATTGATGAATTAAAAGTAGTATATTCATGTGGAGTAATATTATTATTATTTAAAACATCATAAAGGCTTATTGGTGTTGTTGATGATAATAGCAAACAATTCAATTGATAGCATAATTTTTTCCATATTGAAACATTGAATCCTAATAGAAGACGCGCTAATTCTAAATGATTTAATTCATCAGTGTTCTTGAGAGACGACGACGAGAAGACAACATCATCATATTGGTATTATCACTTGATGTAGGGCGATGTGGTGGTGTAACAACACCAGTGACAGTCGAAGCAGGATGATTCCCCAACTGTACAAGTGCACTTCCACTACCATCACTGATAATAAATCGTAGACAAATACCGAAATTAGGAGAAGTTTCATTTTCTGAAATATATAAGAACGAAAGTAAATTGGAAATAATAATAGTAATAATAACAATAATAGTATTAAAACAATTAGTCCCCGATTGATAAATTTGAATAAGGCATTAAGAAGACAAATTTCGCGAGATGATATCGTCATTTCATAGTTTCTTTACAACCAACCGCTTTACAACTAACATGGTTAACAATAATAAAATAAAATACAGTGCATGACAATTACTCAGTGAAATAAAAAACACAAAAGTACATACTAATGGCCAATCATATTTAGATAGGTCATGTAGTCCAGGGTAAGCGAAGAGAATTTATGCTACATAAACGTTATGTAGATGATACTCTTATTATTGGTAATAATAGTAAATCTATTGAAAACTTTATTACTCTATTTAATCATATTCATCCAAATATCTGAGTGACTTCCGAACTCGTATCGATTGACAAACTCGGTTTCCTCGATATTACAGTGACCAGGAGAGATGATGGAACGATTCAACGATCTATTTTTCGTAAACAGACATAAAGTAGACAATATCTTCATTTTACCAGTTTTGTTCCTATCCAGCATAAACGTTCCCTAGTGAAATGTTTGTTCTCAATGGCGCGAAAAATATGCACAAGCGACACAATGATGGATGAGTTTCGACATATACATTCAGTTTTATTAGCTAATGATTATCCAGAAAACTTTATCAATTTTCACAGTACGGATAGACCACATCTAGAAAAGACAGCTTCTGTACCAAAGGAAGCTATCTTTATTAACCTACCTCTCAAGGGTGATCAAATTATACAGTTGACAGCTAGCTCAAAGACTTCGGTCAGCCATCAAGCACACATATTCTACGCCTCATCTCTTTCCCTCACATGCCGAACATTTTCGATCCCTGTACCTACGATTAAAGGACGAAATTCTGTGGATTCTACTTCAATCTGTATCTCTACAAGTTCATCTGCAGTTGCGGTGACACTTATATGGGAAGAACCAACAGAATGTTTCCAATGTAGTTGAAAAGAACATGTTCCAAAATGTAATTAATCTGAATAGAAATCCATCATTATCCATTGCAAAACACTTATTAATGTCAGGTCACAAAATCAATATTATTAATGACTGCTTCACAATTATTTCATCACATAACTCTAATTCAAGGCTGGTTATTGAAGGTGATGGAAGCACTTTGGATCAATGACATACAGCCTAAACTGTGTGTACAAAAAACAACAATAGACTTCAATCTTCGCCTACCATGGATTACTTGACCTATTTAAATATGATTGGTCATTAGTATGTACTTTTGTGTTTTTTATTTAACTAAGTAATTGTCATGCACTGTATTTTATTTTATTATTGTTAACCATGTTAGTTGTAAAGCGGTTGTAAAGAAACTATGAAATGACGATATGATCTCGCGAAATTTGTCTTCTTAATGCCTTATTCAAATAATAGTATTATTAGCAACAATAATAATAATAGCAATAATAATTACAATAATAGTTATTATAATTTATATCAGTAAAAAGTTTGAGCATTGTGGATTAGATCAAATAAAGTATAATTATATTTTTCAATGGTTTTCACACACACAGTGATTACTGTTTTGTTATTGGTAATATTTCGAGCAAAATTACTACTGCCCGTGTTCACGCCAACAGTGTTGGAATTGTTTTGTTTTAACGCACACATTTATGATTTGTACTCACATAAATATAGTTCATCATTTTTGCTCATTCATGCAACAATAATAATATTAATGATAATAACAATAATAGTAGTAATAACAATAATAATAATGATAACAATAATAGTAATAGTAATAATAATAACAATAATAATAGTAGTAATAATAATATTGAAAATAATAACGATAAAAACAGTAATAATGATAACAATCATAAGAGTAACAATAATAATATTGATAATAATAACAATAATAATGCTAATACTGGCAGTAATAATATTAATAATCATAACAAAAATAACAATAATAATGGTGTTAATAATAATATTAATAGTGATAACAATAATAACCGTAATAATAGCAATAATAATAACAATAATAAAAAAGTGAACAATTAGATTTCTAAATTATGCGATAATTATTATTGTTCCCTTGGGTTCCTAGTGGAACATAAGGCTTCAACTGCACGTCTCCACTTGCTTCTGTCTTCTGCTGTACTTTTCACCTGCATCCATGTTAGTCCATAATGTTTCAACTCCTCTTCACACGATCTCCTCCATGTCACACTTGGACGTCCCACTCGTCGCTTCCCTTTCGGGTTCCACTCGAGCATTGGCCTGACGCGCGATGTCACCCAGCGAGTGGCCTCCTCAGCAAGTGTCCAATCCATCTCCACTTTCTCCTGCATATTTGTTGGGCGATTGGTTCTTGTTTTATTTCTTCCCATAGTTTCTTGTTGGTGATTCTTTCTGGACATCTGATCTTCAGTATAGAGCGAAGACAGTTGTTGATAAAGGTCTACAACCTGTTGGAAATATTCTTGGTGACCCGCCGTCAAGTTTCTGATCGGTATAGAAGAACTGACTTGACGTTTGTATTGAAAATCCGAATTTTGTTGTTGATGCTGAGTTGAGTGACGAAGATTTCCAGATTGGTTTCAGGTTGATGAATGTGTTTCTCGCCTTGCCGATTCTCGGTTTGACATCTTCGTCCGTTCCTCCTGTAGTTGAGACAATGCTCCCTAGATCAGTGAAGTGAATGAAGTAACCTCTTTCAAATCCCTCCCGTTGATGGTGATTGGCGCTGGATGTTGCTGCTGTTGTTGTTGTAGTTTGTTGGTTATTTTCATAACCTCCGTCTTGTCTATGTTCACCTGGAGTTCTGTCTTTGCTGCTTCTTCGACCAGTTTGTCGGTTTTCACTTGTAAGTCTTCGATTTCGTGTGACATCAAACATAAATCATCCACGCGCGAAATCCAGGTCTTCTAGGTTCTTCACGTCGGTCCAGGATATCCCTGTCTTCTCGTTTCCCACTGTCTGACGCATAATCCGGTCCACCACAATTAGGAATATGATTGGTGATAATAAGCACCCTTGTCTGACTCCTGTGTTTACTTTAAACGAGCAATAGTAATAACAATAATAAAAAAGCGAACAATTAGATTTCTAAATTATGCGATAATTTAAAGTAATTTATCTGGTGTAAACTTATTTCAAGTGTTTTGGTTTACCGCGTGATTGGGTTGGTTTCAGGATTTTATCATGAAGTGACATCGGATATTATTATTATGATTATTATTATGGCCCTTCAGCCGATATCAGTTCGTGGGGAAATCCGATGCCTACTAGTGATTGGTCCTATTCGGGTAGATAGTTACCAGGGTTCTAGTGGAAGTGGGAAGTCGTGACCAGTGAGTGGGGTACTAGCCGATGTCATCGGCTAGTCGTTGCGCTATATCCTGAATTTACAGAAATTGGAATTCACCCACCGACCATTGGATTGGGTCCTAGCGGCTTAATAGTCTATGAGCTAGTTCACCTCATAACTGGAAGGTCCTGGGTTGGAACCCTAGCGTGGCGGTGGGTGCGTACTGACGATGATTCCCAAACTAGCCTGGTGAAACAGCTGGCTGTCCAGTACTCCCCTCCCCCCCAGCTGGTTTTCAATGGTTCTCTAACTGATATCAATCCGTGATTAACTCGTAAAAACAAAACTAATCCTTAAAAACCAACTATAGAAAATAATAATCATCCTTTATTCTCGATGTTAAATTGGAACACACGCCTAGGATGATATCCAAACGTTCATTTTGTTACTATGTAGATATTTAATCAGTTTCATTTTCTGAAATAAAAGAACGAAGTATACTGGAAATAATAATAATAATAATAGTAGTAGTAACAGCAATAATAATAGGAATAACGATAGTAATAGTAATAATAATATTAGTAATAATAGTCATAGTAAAAATGATAGCAATAATGCTATTAATAATAATAGTATTATTATTAGTAATAATAATAATAATGGTAATAATGGTTGTTATAATAATAGTAATGCTAGTAATAATAATAGTAATAATGATAGTAATAGTAATAACGATAGCAATAGTAATAATAATATTAGTAATAATGGTCATAGTAATTAATAGTGATAGTAATAATAATCGTAGTGATAATGATAGTAATAACACTAGTAATAATAATAGTAATAATAATTAAAAAGCGAACGTTTAGATTTTTAAATTATGCGATAATTTAAAGTAATTTTCTGATGTAAACTTATTTCAAGTGTTTTGGTTTACGGCGTGATTAGGTTGGTTTCAGAATTTTATCATGAAGTGACTTCGCTTATTATTATTATGGTCCTCTAATCGATATCAGTTCATGGTGAAATCTGATGCCCACTAATAATAATAATAATAATAATAATAATAATAATAATAATAATAATTTGCTTTATTCCAAAACGGTACTTGTGATACAGAATGGAATTCTCAGCATTTTTACTACAGTATTGCATCCAGTTAGTACATTATCAATAATTAGAATTCTATATAGATTAAGGAAATCTCAGTTCATTATGACAACAACAAATTGGCATGTCGGTAGCAAAGGCAAAATTGAACAGAGTGTTTGAAGGTGTTAGAAAAGTAGGTGAAGTCATATTTACTGGCGTAAGCGGAAGAAAGAAACAAAGTAGTACATAACGGAAAAAGAGAGAGAGAGAAAAGGAAAAGAAAGAAAGAAAACGTTGTAACCTATAAATGATATGAGTTGGAAAGACGAGGTCCAGTTGTTCTACTGACTATTTAATAAGTTATAGGTGTCACGCCTAATGCTTTCTTTATCACACAGAACACGAGCCAAGTAGGGTATGGTTGAGTTTTCGTACTTGCTAGTGCGAGCCTATAGTTTTCTATATAGGCTTCTGGTCGTGCCCGATGAGATACAAGGGGAGAGTTGTGAATGAAGAGGGTGGTGTGAGTTAGATAAAATGGATTTGGCCCATTTTTCACATGAGTCCATGTTCCTGTTGACCA